TTCATTTGAGAAGTCCCTCTTTAGTTCCCTTGCCCATTTAGTAATTGGTTTGTTAGGTTTGGGAGGGATTAGTTTCTTGAGTTCCCTGTATATAGGATATTAACCCCTTGTCTGATATATTGCTGGTAAATATTTTTTAAAGATTTTTTTAATTAGCATATATTAGTTGTATAGGATAGTTTGTAATACTTCCATACAATGTACCCCAATTAAGCTCTTCCCTCTTTCTCCCTCTTTTTCAAAACAGCTTCAACGTGTTTTACTGTCCTATTTTTGTACATGTGTATAAAGTACTATAGACAGATTCACCTTCACCCAAATGAAGAAATTTAAACCCATATAACTTTTGGGCTTTTTTTTAATTGTAAAAGTTACGTACAGAGGAGCTACAGTTACATAAAAAAGTAATGAGTGTAGTTCTTGTCCAACAATGTTACTCCCTCTCTCATTTACTCCTGCCACTTTTGGACTTTTTTTTTTGGTCAATCATGGGGCTTGAACTCTAGGCCTGGGTGCTGTCCTTCAGCTCTTCAGCTCAAGGCGAGCACTGTACCACTTGAGCCACTGTACCACTTCCCATTTTCTGAGTGGTTTATTGGAGATAAGAGCCTCACAGACTTTCCTGCCAGGGCTGGCTTTGAACGAGATTCTCAGATCTTGGCCTCTTGAGTAGCTAGGATTATAGGCGTGAGCCACTGGTGCCTGGCTACTTTTGGTCTTTTTAAAAAGGCCTCGTTCTTTAATGTGCAATTAGTTAAAATTACATAATAGCCTTTATTTTTGGCTTCTGGATTATTTGAAATCTTTTCTCCCTCTCATTTTGTCTTTGAAATTTTTGTTTACAGTTTTATCCCATCATTTGTGAAAAATATTTAGCAGAAAAGTTAAACTAGCAAAATGAATACTCAAAAATCACTCACATAAATATAGCAATTATTAGTGTTTTAACAGTTAGGCTTTATGTTGTTTCCACATGTGCTCAAACATACACAAAAACCCTTGCCTTTTCCTTTCTTGACCTATTAGAGATTTGCAAATATTAGACCCTTTACACCTAGATATGACAGTGGATATGTCCTAAGAATAACTGTACATTTCCTGCATCACCACAGTATAATGGCTTCATTCTGAATACATCGACATACTATTATTGTCTTATTCAATAATGAAATTTTATCAGTTGTCCAAACAATGACCTTTATAACTACCCTACACCAACAACTCATTCCAGAACTTAGACATCACACATTGTTACTTGCCTTTTTTAATCATTGAAAATTTTGTTAGCTTTTTTTTTTGAGAAACATAAATTAGAGACCAGTTAGTTGGTTCATCTGTATTATACAGGTGCTATAGAATAGGAAATCATTACAACAATGGTTAGAACTTTATTGTGTTTTTGTTTTCTTTTGTTTTAGTGTTTTTTTAGCCTGTTGGTATTATGAAGAAAAGTTATCTGGTACCTCTTTAACAAAACAATCTGGTATTATATACTTCCTATAAAAAGAGGAGAGAACCTTAAGTATTACAAAGATATAGGGTATAAATCAACTTACTATATACATTTATGAATACGTTAGGATAGTATCAGACAGAAGTGATCATAATCTTAAGATTCAGTCTGCAAAATGTTAATTCTCAAAGTTCTTCATATATATTTTATCCACTTTTTATATTTTTTATTGGTGCTTCAGATTGTGCTCAGCATTATACTTGTTCGGCAGGTTCTCGACCACTTAGGCCACATCTCCAGCCTTTTTTCTTTTTAGTTATGTTGGGATAGGGTCTTGCATTTATGCCCAGGCTTGCTTGGACTTCAATTTTCCTATTGGAGTTTCTGGAACTTTTTGTCTGGGCAAGCCTTGAACCATGTTTCTCCTGATATCCATCTCCCAACTAGCATGAGCCACTGCACCAGCTCCCTTTATTTTAATGATTTTCCCATACACTGAATAAAGTAGTTATATATATGGTAGAATAGTGAACTCTTAAACTGGAGGAAGACCTGTACTGATATTTAACTAAACCATGTATTTTATACATGAGGAGAATTGTAGCCTTAGTGAGATTATTAAATAACTTGTTTAGTACATAGTTAGGAGAAATAAGACAAGGACCATGGCTACCTATATTATTTTGCCAATACTGGTAGGTAAAAATATAGTTATGCTGGAAGAGGAGCTGTGGCTCATTTGATAGAGTGCTAGCTTTGAGTGGAAAAGCTTAGGGACAGCACCCAAGCCCTGATTCAAGTCCCATAATTCACTTAAAAAATTATAGTTATGTTATTTTTTAATTTATTTTTATTTTTTTATTTTTTTGTCGCTTGTGGGGCTTGAACTCTGGGCCGGGGTGCTATCCCTCAGCTCTTCAGCTCACACTCTACCAGTTGAGCCATAGCACCACTTCTGGCTTTTTCTGTTTATGTGGTGCTGAGGAATCAAACCCAGGGCCCCATGCACGCGAGGCAAGCACTCTATCAGTGAGCCATGTTGCCAGCCTGTTTATGTTAATTTTTATGTTTAAATTCTAATAAAGCTGGCACCGGTGGCTCACGTCTGTAATCCTAGCTACTCAGGAGGCTGAGATCTGAGGATCACAGTTCAAAACCAGCCCAGGCAGGAATGTCCATGAGACTCTTATCTCCAATAAACTACCAGAAAACCAGAAGTGGTACTGAGGCTCAAGTGGTAGAGTGCTAGCCTAGAGCTGAAGAGCAGAGGGATGGTACCCAGGCCCAGAGTTCAAGCCCCACCACTGACAAAAAAAAAAAAAACCCAAAATTCTAATAAAATGTATTTTTATGATATTGTGATATCTTTTAATGATAGATCTGTATTAAACTTATAAAAATGTTTCTCTTCACTACAAAGATATATGCCTATGAAGACTGACTAATAGCATGTGCTTATGAAATGGGTATTTATATCAAATATAAATTTCTCTATCTGGTATCTGTTCAGTGAGTGGTACTTGTATAATTTCCTCCTTAGGTAAATCTAGATAGAAGCACTGTTGAAGAATTGTTGCCATAATAGCAAATTATGAAGTGGTAAGGTTTTAACCTCAGGAAACTCAGGAAAAAAAATTAAATACACACACACACACACACACACACGCACTAGTACATTTACTTTTGTAGATATGTGAAATGATTCATTTCAGTTGGTGCTTTTGCTTTTTGTGATAATTTCTTTAGAAATTACTGACACTTTTGTATCATTTTTTTCCTACAGAAATCAGTGAATTTCCATCTGAATGTTGTAGTGTAATGGCAGGAGGTACTCTCACTGGATGGCATGCAGATGTTGCTACTGTTATGTGGCGAAGAATGCTAGGCATTTTGGGTGATGTCAATGCTATTATGGATCCTGAAATACATGCTCAAGTTTTTGATTACCTCTGTGAACTTTGGCAGAACCTAGCCAAGGTAAAAGAGAAAGTAAAGCCTTAGCAGAAGAAGGAATGAAAAATACAGTATTAAGAAATAGAAAGCTGGGCACCAGTGGTTCACAGAGGTTGAAATCAGAAAGCTGGGCACCAGTGGTTCACAAAGGTTGAAATCTGAGGATCGTGGTTTGAAGCCAGCCCAGGCAGGAAATTCTGTGAGACTATCATTTTTAACAAACGACTCAAAACAGCTCAAAAAAGCACTGTGGCTCAAGTGGTAGCGCACTTGCCTTGAGCAAAAGAAACTCAGGGACAGTGCCCAGGCCCAGAGTTCATGCCCCAAGACAGGCAAAAAAAAGAAAAAAAAGAAATAGAAGAGGAAAATATCTGGGAGTGCATGCCTATAATTCCAGCACTTAGAAAGCTGAAGCAGAAAGGTCTTTAATCCAAGACAAGCCTGGGCTATATGGCAAATGTCAGGCCTACATCAGCTATGTGGTGAAACACTGTCTTAAAAAGATGGGGGGGGGGCTGGGAAGGTGGCTCAGTGGTAGAGCGCTTGCCTTGCATGCATGAGGCCCTGGGTTCGATTCCTCAGCACCACATAAGCAAAAAGAAAAAAAGCTGGAAGTGGCACTATGGCTCAAGTGGTAGAGTGCTAGCCTTGAGCTGAAGAGCTGAGGGACAGCCCCCAGGCCCAGAGTTCAGGCCCCATGACTGGACCCCCCCAAAAAAAGATGGGGGCAAACAGACAGATTAAAGGCAGGAAGGGGGAGAAGGGGAGAACAATTAGAAGAATCTTAGATGGGCACTAGTAGCTCAGACCTGTAATCCTATCTATTCAGAGGGCTGAGAACTGAGGATTATGATTAAAGTCAAACCCAGGCAGGAAAATCCACAAGACTCTTTTTTTTTGTCTGGGGGTGTCCGGTCATGGGGCCTGAACTCTGGGCGTGGGCACTGTCCCTCAGCTCTTCAGCTCAAGGCTAGCGCTCTACCACTTGAGCTACAGCACCACTTCCGGCTTTTTTTTTTTTGCTTATGTGGTGCTGAGGAATGGAACCCAGGGCCTCAGGCATGCAAGGCAAGCGCTCTACCACTGAGCCACCTTCCCAGCCCCCACGAGACTCTTTATCTCCAGTAAACTACTAGAAGAATCCTTGGAGAACATTGCTACACCCAAACCTCTTACTATATGTAAAACTGATGTCCACTATGGGAGGGTCACTGAACCATAATGAAATATATAATTAGTAGTGAAACTGAATCTAACTTCAGTTTAAGGAAAGAAAGCTGAACGAACAATCTTTATAAGTTTGTTACTTTTTATTTGAAAATTACAGATCAGAGATAACCTTGGCATTTCAACTGATAACTTGACCTCCCCTTCTCCACCTGTTTTGATTCCTCCACTAAGAATTCTTACACCTTGGCTCTTTAAGGTAAGCCTAATACATAAAGCATTAGTTTACAATTTTGTGTTTAGTACATTACTAAATAATGTATAGAAAATACAGCTATTATGTAGGCTTTTACAATACTTAGATTTTAACTGTGTCTTTATGAAGTTATTAGGCATACAGAAAGGATAGTCAGCATGACAAAATTATTATACATATTTCTTTGTTTTAAGCAAAAGTTGGTATAGGATAATAGGTTATTTATTTGCTTGTTGTTTGTTTGTGGCACTAGGCGCCTAACCCAGAGTCTTATATATGCTAGACAAGTGGTTTACTACTGGGCTACACAGCCCCAAGAAAGTATATCTTTATTGTATAAAAATCAAGTAAAAGCTAAACCTCAAATTGTGTCACAGGGGGCTGGGAAGGTGGGTCAGTGGTAGAGCGCATGCCTTGCATGCCAGAGGCCCTGGGTTCTATTCCTCAGCACCACATAAGCAAAAAGAAAAAAGCCAGAAGTGGCGCTGTGGCTCAAGTTGATGTTTGGTACATTTTCCTAAGTGAAAGTTTTGAGTCGTCATACCTGAATTGAATAATTTTCAATAAACCAGTAGTCCTGTTTTCTAGCTAATGAAGAAATTGAGACAACACAGGTATGGTAGCTCATTTTTATGGGAGACAGAAATATTGAAGATCTCTGTGGGAGGCCAGCTTGGACTAAAATTAGTGAAACCATCACGTCCAGGTTCTCCACACCTATAATCCTAGAGATAATCTCATCCTAGCTGTAAACTCATCCCAGGAGGATGAGATCTGTAGGATTTTGGTTCAAGGCAACTCAGGAAAGAAAGTTCACTACACTCTATCTCTGGAGGCATGGCTCAAGTGGCAGAGCACTAGCCCAGAAAGACTCTGAGTCCGAACCCTACTATCACAAAAACAAAAAGTTAGTCAGTTACATCTGAATCAATAAAATCTGGGTATGGTAGTATGCACCTTCCATCCCAGCTGCATAAATAATATGATAGCAGTCCATACCAGTCTAGGCAAAAACAAATCCTATGTGAAAAAATAACTAAAGCAAAAAGGGCTGGAAGTATGCTTCAGGTAGAAGAGTGCTTGCACAAAGCATAAGAAAGATCCTGAGTTGGAATTCCAATACTACAAAAAAAGAGAAAAGGAAAGGAAATTGGATCAGCATAGAAATAAAGGAATACAGTGCTGTTCTTTTCAGTTGTTTAAGGATCTAGCAAATAATATTTGTTCAGGAATATTAAAGCTTATCTCCTAATTTTAGGCAACCATGTTGACTGATAAATATAAACAAGGCAAATTGCATGCTTATAAACTTATTTGTAATACAATGAAAAGAAGACAAGATGTATCTCCAAACAGAGATTTTCTAACACATTTCTACAATATAATGCATTGTGGATTGCTACATGTTGATCAGGTAAATATATGTGCCTCTAAAAAGTTGTTTTATCTGTTTGTCCTTGACCTTTGATTGTTTTAACTCTTTGTTTTTAAGATGTGAAATTAAAACAATCTTCATATGTAGTGGCTTATATACAATTTACTTCCATACCATATTTATTCTTGAAACATGGTTGAAAACAAGCTTTGTGTAGAAGCTAAGTTTAATTTGAATATTCCTCCAATTACATTGTTATACCAGTTCTCATTTTGAAGATCCTAAATGTTTCTTTTACTTGAATTAGCAGCACTTTTTTTGTAATATTCCAGTGTAGCTAGTATTATGTGCTTATAAATGATACTTGATAATTAGTACTTGAGGCATATGAATTTGCTAATGACTATGCAGCAATAAGAGATTTTTTTCGACTCTAAGAATCAGTACCTCTCATTTTCTTATTAACGTCAATTATGGTAGTATAGTAACATTTACATTGACTTAATGATTGCTTCACTTACAATTTCAAAATAATCAAATATTATAGACTGTCACTTAAGGGATCTTGATCTTTGTCATAAAACTGAAGAGATTGCAAATCTAAGTAACACATTTTTATACTGACTAAACTTGTACATAATGTTTAGTGTTAAATTCGTATTAAAAGATAACTTTCTGTTTGAACAGTGAACTTCTTACATTAACTTCAAAATTACATTGTGTGTATATATATATGTATATATATATATATATATAAATAGAATGTAGATTGTAAATTTTTTTCAGAATGATAATTGGATTACTAGAAAAAATAGAGCTTTTATTTAATATGTCACATTGAATAATACATTCAAATATACTGGCTCCTTGTAAATTCCAAAGATATAGTGAATGAATGGCACCCATAGTTCACACCTATAATCCTAGCTACTCAGGAGGCTGAGATCTGAGGATTATGTTTCAAAGCCAGTCCAGTCAGAAAAGTATCTCCAATTAAAGTGGTGGAATGCTAGCCTTTAGCAAAAGATGCTCAGGGACAGAACCCAGGTTCAGAGTTCAAGCCCTAGTAACCAGGAGGGCAGGGGCGGGAGGTTGGGGGTGGCTGGAATGCATTTGAGACTCAATTAAAAGCAAAAGACTGGGAATACGGCTTAAGTGGTACAATATAAGATCTACCCCCAGTATCTCTGAGGATGGGAGAAATTTATTTCTAGATTTCTATCATTAAAGAACCTCAATTTATCAAAAAAAAAGTATCTCTCTAGCTTGTACATAGCAAATTATGTGAAGCCCCACAACTGACAAAAAAAAGTATATTATTTACATTAGTTAAGTAAATGTATTATCAGTTTACTTTTCTCTAAGAATGTATAATACTAAGCATAGGTTGTTTAGAAAACTTGAAACTAGTCATTCCAGTTAGCCAGTGTACATCTGTTACCTTTTATAATCCACATCTTACCTGTTTTTAAAGATATTGATTTGCTGGTAACGAAGATTACATATGTGATATTCTTTTTCTTCATTCTTTATTTTAAGGATATTGTCAATACAATTATCAAGCACTGTTCACCTCAGTTTTTTTCACTTGGATTGCCTGGTGCCACAATGCTTATTATGGATTTTATTATAGCAGCTGGTAGAGTGGCCTCGTCAGCTTTTCTCAATGTAAGTTTTTATCTCTAGTTCTGTTAATATAAACCAACTTTTAATGAACCAAGGACTTAGCTAACAAAGCAATAAGGACGGAGCAATTATTGCTGAGAAGATACAAAGTGATGTTCAGGAAAGTTTATAGTTTAAATTGATCGCTTCTTTCACATTTAAAAAAACAAAAGAAAAGAAAACAGGGTTGGGAAGATGGCTTAGTGGTAGAGTGCTTGTCTCACATGCATAAGGCCCTGGGTTTGATTCCTCAGCACCACAAAAGCAGAAAAAAAAAGAGGAAGTGGTGCTGTGGCTTTGGTGGTAGAGCGCTAGCCTTGAGCTGGAGAGCTGAGGGACAGCACCCAGGCCCAGAGGCCCCACAACTGGCCAAAAAAAAAGAAAGAAAACAAAGCATTTATGATGTGTAAAAAATCACTGAGATTACTTTTTTGTCTTAAAAGCTATAAAAATATATGTGGAGCAAAACAGAATTTAAAGTAGAATAAAATTAAGGAAATAGAAGGAAGAAAGGTGGAGAAAAAGCAGTGGGCTAGTAGCAGAAATAAGGAAGAGAAATGTGCCCTTGTAGTAAACCCCAACACTGCAAGTGAGGAATTTTTCATATAGTCATGGAGCCATGACACAATAGCTGGAGAATATTCATACATGGGTGTCAGAAGTGAGCTGGAGAAGGTGAGAATGGCTTTAGCCTCTTTAATTTATCTGCATTTATGAACAATGAAACCTGTTGAAACTGTTTTAAGGAGAAGTGGAAATGGAGAAAATAGTCGGGGAGCTGAAGGAATATATTATTTATATGTGTGGAAATGTCACAGGTACCCTCACACCCCCAGTATCACTAATGTATGCTAATTTTTTAAAAAGGAATAGTATGTATAGCATGGTAAGGCTTTTATTAAACATCTCCTAAGATGTCAGGATAATAATTGCATATACAAGCAGGAGCTCAAAAAGCTGTTTGAACTGAAACTTATTTTTTATTTTTATTTTTCTGTTTTGTCTTGTTTTGTGCGAGTCCTAGGGCTTGAACTCAGGCCCTGAGCACTGTCCCTGAGCTGTTTTGCTCAGGTCTAGTACTCTACAACTTGAAACTCCTCCTCTGGCTTTTTGGGTGTTAATAGGAGATAGGAATTTCCTGCCTGGGCTGCTGTCCTCAGATCTCAGCCTCCTGAGTAGATAAGATTACAGGCATGAGACACTGGCACCCAGCTGAACTGAAATTTATAATGGGTGGCATTTGTATTTAGGTGATAGCCCAAGCCTTGAAACGGTATGCAAAAAAAATTTTTTTCTATTCCAGTGCATAAGCTCAAGAAGGTCATATCTTGCTGCGTGCCGGTGGCTCACATCTGTAATCCTAGCTACTCAGGAGGCTGAGATCTGAGGATTGCGGTCCAAAGCCAGCCTGGGCAGGAAAGTCCATGAGACTCTTATCTCCAGTAAACCACCAGAAAAATGGAAGTGGCGCTGTTGCGCAAGTGGTGGAGTGCTTGTCTTGAGCTGAAGAGCTGGGGACAGCACTCAGGCCCAGAGTTCAAGCCCCACGACTGACAAAAAAAAAAAAATTAATAATAATAAGGTCATCTCTTTCCCCAACCCCCACCCTCACCCCCAAAAGAAACTAGATACAATCACCTAGAGAAAATGTGCAAATGAAGAAGAAAGAGTACAGGTCAAGCTTGGACTGGATCAGTTTTGTAATCCTAGCTACTCAGGAAGCTGAGGTCTAAGGTTTACAATGAGAAGCCAGTTTGGAAGTAAGAGAATATATTACAGGCGAGTAAGAGAATATATTACATGCAAAGTAAACCAGACCTAAGGAAAATATATTCAGACAATGACAGATAATCTACTTTAATATTTAGACACTAATCTGCAAAAGTATAGCATATGTAGAGGTATGTCTAAATATATAAAGTGGCATTGGGCATGATCTGAGTGCTTATTAGCAACTCAGAATCTTAGACCCCATCCCAGACCTACTAAATCAATCTCTTTTAATTACATCACAAATGATGGGTAAAATAATTGGTTATAGATTGAGAATCACTGCTCTTGATATCTTAGAAGTTCTTGAATGCAACTAGCCCAGGTTATAATAGTATATTAGATAACCAATTAAATATTTTAACGTGAGGAGAAAGATGATTGAACCTTCGGAATATTAAATATATTAAGCTAGGAGTAGATTAATTGGAAAAAACCCACAGATATTAAATAAGCTATAAGATCACTGTAGTATTGTCAGTTTACAAAATTATTGGTTTCTAGGAAAGTAGCAAATATTGATAAAATTCAGAGAAAGCTAATATACAAACCAACATCACTTTATTTACTTTGAAAACTAATACTCTTCAGTGAGCCAATTATTCCAGATGATGAATCTACATTTCCTACGGCTTTTCTCAAGGTTCTGCAGAGAATTAAATCCTGCCATCTTTATTTTTTATGTTACTAATTTCTATCCAATACATCTAGAAGGATATTCATTGTGTAACAAAATGCTCTGGAAAATACAGAAAATAGTCATGTTGTATTTTATTTATATGATAAATACTTACTAAGGAAGGCTACTTAGGGAACCAAACCATTGCTGAAATCAAGCCTGGCACTCAGTCTCTAATGGTTTCAGAAATAATGATCTTAAATCTTGCTTTTGAATTCCCACTTTAGATCCTATGTATATCATTTTTCCTCTGTTAATGTATCCCTCCCCCCCTTAGACAGATGACAAAATAATTGATTGAGTTTGCCTTTCTTACTTACAGTCATATTTCAGGTCTGTTCTCATTATATCCACACACTCAAACATTCCCAGTTACTTTACTCATCTTCACAGAAAAACTCCTTGCTAATCTCTTTCAGTTTTTATAAGTTTCATTTTTTATTTTATTTATTTTTTGTCAGTCATGGGGCTTGAACTTTGGGCCTGGGCGCTGTCTCTCAGCTCTTCAGCTCAAGACTAGCGTTCTACCACTTGAGCCACAGCACCACTTCCGGTTTTCTGAGTGGTTTATTGGAGATAAGAGTCTCACAGACTTTAATGCCCGGGCTGGTTTTGAACCATGATCCTCAGATCTCAGCCTTCTGAGTAGCTAGGATTACAGGTGTGAGCCACCAATGCCCGGCTCAGTTTCATGTTTTATAGGATGGTAGATGTTAGTTTACCCTGCCCTTTTCATATACGCTTCCTATATCTGTAAATATAGATTTTGAAAGAAAATCTTGATAAGAGTTCTGTTTTGTTTTGAAGCAGGACAATATGTAGCCTACATTGGGCTCAAACTCATAATCATCATGCCTCTGCCTTCAGAGTGCTGGAAACTTAGATTTCCATCCATATATTTTTGTGTATCCCCTTTCCTTCTGAATTTTTTATACTCATTTCTTTGTATAATATTGTTGAATAATGAGTATTTTAACAGAGAGAGTTTAAGAACACAAATACATTTTAAAGATTTTTAACATCTGATACACAGGCACCAAGAGTGGAAGCACAAGTTCTTCTGGGATCTTTAGTTTGCTTTCCCAATCTATATTTTGAACTGCCTGCTCTCCATCCCAACATACCTGATATTGCTGTCTCTCAGTTTACAGATGTTAAGGTAAGAATTCAGATACTAGTTTATACCATTTTAGTAATTTTATAGCTGTGAAATCTGTATAATAAAATATGTACTCTTTCTTTGCTTTTTCTTTGTAATTATTTTTTTAAAATCTATTGTAAAGGTGATGAACGGGGGTTACAGTTACATAAGTAAATAATGAGTACATTCTTTTTAAATACTTTTACCCTCGCCTTCATTTTCTCCCACTTACCACTCCCTACTCCTCTCTCCAGACAAGTTGTATAGTTCAATTCCAACATAAAATCAAATGAGCATCATTGTTGCATTAGATCATCCTTTGTCCTGATGTTCCCATGAATCCCTTTCCTTTCCACAGATCAGATAAACTTATATACAAGACAAACAGCACAGAAAACTAAAACAACAAAAAGAAATAACTACATACAGAACCTCTTGTTTCCAATTCTTGGAGCTTATGTTGATAAGTTTATGTTGGTCCTATGCACTTAACAATTGGGCTATTGATATATCCCCTGTTAAGAATATCATAGGCATATTCCAGTTATTGCAAATGAGGGAAACCATGCAACCTACTTCTCTTTGGGCCTGGCAAATTCCCAAAGAAACAACCACCCCATCAACAAATGGGCTAAGCCCTTAAAGAGAGACTTCTCTGAAGAGATAATAGGAATTGCCAATAGATAGGTGAAGGAAAGCTCAACTTCTTTGGCCATAAAAGAATGCAAATCGAAACAACATTGTGATACCATCTTACCCCAGCTATAATGGCCATTATTAAGAAATCTTAATAACAACAGATGCTGGTGGTGATGTGATCAAAGGGCAATCCTACTACACTGTTGGTAGTACTGCAAACTTGTTCAGCCACTCTGGAAAGCAGTGTGGAGGTTCCTCAAAAAACTAAACATAGAGCTCCTCTATGACTCAGCAATCCCACTCCTGGGCATTTACCCAATGACCACAAACAAGACCATATTAATGCTACCAGCACGACACGACCATGCTTATTGCAGTATTATTTACTATAGCTAAGATGTAGAACCAACCCAGATGCCCCTCAGTAGATGAATGGATCAAGAAAACGTGGTATATATACACAATGGAGTTCTGTGCTTCCATCAGAAAGAATAGCATTGCCCCATTCATAAGGAAATGGAAAGACCTGGAAAAATTATATAACTTTTTTTTGTGTTTAAATTGCTTTGGAGCTGGTAATGGTGGGTCACGCCTGTAATCCTAACTATTCAGGAAATCGAGATCTGAGGATCATTGTTCAAAGACAGCTCATGCAGGAAAGTCTGTGAGACTTTTATCTCCAATAAACCACTAGAAAACTGGAAGTGGCACTCTGGCTCAATGTGGTAGAGCACAAGCCTTGAACAAAAAGAGCTCAGGGATAGCACTCAGGCCCCGAGTTCAAGCCCTATGACTGGGGAAAAAAATTGCTTTGGTGCCTTTTTCTAATTATTAAACTTACTCAAAATGTCTATCTTTTAGGTAAAATTTATTCTGTCATTGAACATCATGAGCCAGATACTGTGCAGCTAGGGTAAGGCTTCTGAGATAGACATGATAGACTAACCCTGCATATTTGACTCTTAAAATTTTCAACATTTTTGTTCCAAGTAATAGTAATAGTATACTATTTCTGAAATTTTAGAGTTGGTGTGGCAATCTCATGTACCTGAAACATTAACAGGCGTGAACAGTATTCAGGAACAAATATGCCAAATGTCCCTTGTTATATATAATCATTTTTTAAAATATAAGTTTCATAGGTGGAAAATTAGTGAGAAGTTCTTTTGTGCCTCTGTAGTGGTCAGCCTCTGTTTAGAAGGAAAGGTGTGACATGATCATTTCCTTGGACTCATTAATTCTTAAACTAAGGGAGAGGGGATTGGTATGAAAAAGTTGTCCTGGTGAAGATAAAGACAATCACTGCTCAGGGACCTGCAGGTGACTGGCTGTGAATAATTCATCACTGAGTCAAGACTTGTCTCTCACTGAATGCCCATATATTACAAATACCCAAAGGCTTAAGAATCCTAGGTAATAGTGCCTGTCACAGTCATTACCAGATGATCTCCCTGTTTAACTTGAATTGGTCCTTAGAATAGTTGAGAAAAAGCTACTTCTATGGCTTCTCAGTGCTTATGCTGATAATTTTTACAGTTGCTTTCTGTAAAAGACATTTTTATATCAGAAGTGTTACATACACTCTCATAGCATCTGTATTGGTTTGGAATATTTAGTATGCTTGTAATTATTTGTGCAGTACCTGTTTTCTGCTTTAAATAAAAACCGCAGCGCCTTATTACTGTTACCACAGTGTTATTACACTTTTTGGTGTATAGTATACACTCAGAAATATCAGTTAAGTAAATAAACTTCAATTATACTTAGAATCATATGGGCCAGTGCAAATTTATAATGACCAATAATAAAAACAATACAACTTTACTTTTGCTTTTTTCTATTTTCAGAAGATCCCGAAGGCCAAGGATAGGTAATAGTTTCAGTCCACTTAGCTAGTTGTTTGTTCAAGGTTAGACTAGTCTACTAGTAGCATCTGTCAGTGGATCTTTGGTAGCTATTATTGTAGACAGTAATGGCTTAAAAATGACTTTTTTGAAAACATATTTTTTGTGTGTAAACAAAACTCCAAAATCAGTGCCAATTTTAATACGGATGAAGAAAGCAAAAAAGCCTATAAAGCTATAATTGTTTTTAGTCAGAAAATGAATATTGAAGAGGAGAGTTACATATCATCATGATCATATTTTATTTTCATATTTTCACCAAAGCTAACTCTTCAGGTACTCTGACTTATAGCCTCCTGGAGCATGCTGTTGTGCTTCACAAGTCTGTGTTCTTGAAAAACTATCTCCTATCTAAAGTTTCATATAGCTCTTCTCCCTTTTCCTCTCTTAATCACTTCAAAGTTTAAAAAAGTTGTTCATATCTTTGAGCTATTAATTATCTTTTAGTAGCCTTTATTATTATTCTAATAAGAAAGATATTTTGAACATAATATACTTTTTTATTGTGAAAATACTGTACAGAGGGGTTACAATTACATGGGCAAGGTAATGAGGACATATCAAGCATTGCAGCCTCCTCCTTTGTTTCCCCTTCCCATCCCCTATCTCCCACCCTCCCCCATCCCTCACCCCCCAAACATAATACACTTTTGATTACAGACAGCATAAATTATTTTGTGACTTAACTACCTATAGGAATAACATTGGACTCTTTAATTTTTATTTATTTATTTTGTCAGTCATGAGGCTTGAATTCAGGGCTTCGGCACTGTCCCTGAGCTCTTCAGAGCTAGTGCTCAACTACTTTGAGCCAGTTCCACTTAAAGTTTTCTAATGGGTAATTGGGGATAAGGACAGACTTTTATTTAACTATTTAGCTTTTCTACCTCTACCTGACATAATGCCTGGCCCAGAGTGGCTTCTTAATAAATATTTGTTGAACTAATCTTAGTCATTGCTTTTAACTATTTCCTCTTGTTTTAGGAACTTATCATTAAAACTGTATTAAGTTCAGCAAGAGATGAACCCTCTGGTCCTGCACGGTAGGTCAGATATTTTTAGATTCATCACTTAATTATTCTGGTTTGAAATTTTATTTTACTGAATTGTAGTAGTAGTCCAGATTATTTCAGAATTAAAACTTTAAATTATTTGAATGATCAAGTACTTCTTTCACATGATTTACATATTTATCTTCCTTTTTTAAAAGAAAGAGTTCTTTTTTATAGTTACTTTATTCTCCATAGCTAAAATGAATTGTATTTAATTCCATTAAGTATATTTTGTATTTTATATTTTATTTATTGTTTTAAAGTGATACCTTGAAATATAATAGTAATAAATACTACTGTACCTTATTCACTAATAGGTACTATCACTGATTTCATTAAATAGAATTGAATGCTCACTAAATTGAGTGAAACTATGTTTACTATAGAAAGTAATTTAACTAAGAAAATAGTATATTTTAATATTCACATATTTGTGAATTTTAGGAAAGTTTTACCTGTTTCTCTTTATTGGTGCCAGGGACCTTGTGAATGCTCAGTGAGCATTCTTCCACTGAGCTGTGTGCTTTATCTTCTTCTTTGTGTCTTAAGCATTGAAACTCAACATTTTCTATTTTGCTATATAAATATTGCCCCAAAAGTTTGAAATTTAAATTATCGGGTTGCCAGAAACATACTGTGCTCCTTCTCCTTAAAATATCACTGTTTTATTTTTCAGTTACTTGATACTAATTTGAATAATGTATCATTAGCCTCATCAGTTATCTTCGTATTTGTTGTTCAAAAGGTACAGAATTTGTCTTTGGCCATTTGGATCAAATTTTATTCTACAGTTTTTAGTTGCAAGTAAAGACGTGAAAATGAACTATTTGATGTAATGAGAATAGCTCCAGTTTAAAAAAATATATTATTGAATTTTTGTCTTACTTAATAGCCAAGTTAACTACCATAAATTTATTAGAGCAAATTCTTCAGTTAGACTCATTTCACTTTTACAAAGAGTTTCCTGCAATGTTTATTTCATTTTTATCTTCATCACAGTTCTGAGATATTAATGGACTCACTGTATTCCAGCTTGCTAGTCAGAAACTGATGATTAGAAAATTAATATGTAGCCGGGCACCGGTGGCTCATGTCTGTAATCCTAGCTACTCAGGTGGCTGAGATCTGGGAATCATGGTTCAAAGCCAGACCAGGCAGAAAAGCCCATGAGACTCTTATATCCAATAAACCACTAGAAGACAAGAAGTGGTGCTATGGCTCAAGTGGTAGAGTGCTTGCCTTGAGCAGAAGAGCTGAGGGACAGCGCCCAGGCCCAAAGTTCAAGCCCATGACAAAAAAAAAAATTGGGCTGGAAAGGTAGCTCAGCGGTAGAGTGCATGTCTTGCAAGCATGAGGCCCTGGGTTCGATTCCTCAGCACCACATAAACAGAAAAAGCTGGAAGTGGCGCTGTGGCTCCAGTGGTAGAGAGCTAGCCTTGAGCTGAAGAGCTGAGGGACAGAGCCCAGACCCAGAGTTCAGGCCCCATGACTGGCAAAAAAAAAAAAAATTAACATGTATTAAATCCAAAGCTAACATTTTTAATGTAATTTTACTGTTATTATTAAGGTATTGTGGGCTGGGAAGGTGGCTCAGTGGTAGAGCACTTGCCTTGAATGCCTGAGGCCCTGGGTTCAATTCCTCAGCACCACATAAGCTAAAAGAAAAAAGCCGGAAGTGGTGCTGTGGCTCAAATGGTAGAGTGCTAGCCTTGAGCTGAAGAGCTGAGGGACAGCGCCCAGGCCCAGAGTTCAGGCCCCACAACCGGAACCAAAAAAAAAAGGAATATATTAAGGTATTGTACAGAGGGATGGCCATTTCATGAGTCAGGGAAGTAGTACATTTTTGGGGGCAATGTCACTCCTTCCTTTATCTCCTCAGTTAAAAGCTAATATTTATCAAGATCTTCCTGTGTGTAAGCATGCTCTATACACTTTGTATTTATTGTCTCAGTGAATTTTGTAGCAACTCTAGATTGGGCACAATTTTTGTCCTTTTTATAGATAAGGAAATTAGAACCTAGGGATTTTTTTTACTCTATCTCCCAGATATAGCAGACTATAATTATTGCTCTCACACTTTGTCTTCAGTCTCATTAGATGCATGTAATGTATAAGTGGCAGAACAAGGTTTGAATATTGACCTAAAGACTAAATCTTCTGCTCCTTGTTTTTTCTTTTTTAAAATTATGCTCTCAAGGAAAGTATGTGCTGGCCTAAACCATGGTTGCCTAGAGACCCTGGATTTATTAGCATAGTAATTTATGTTATTGAGAATTAGTACATCTCAGAAATGGAACTTGAGCATTGTCTCAACTTGTTTCATATCTTTTGTTTGTGTTTTTGAAGCTTACACTCCAAAAGCTTTGAAGCTTTTACCACTCTCTGAGCCAAAGCAAACAATTGATTCACCTTGATCATTTAGATAATTTGGGAAATATGGGAAACTGTTCTCTGTGTGTGTGTTCTCTCCGTGTATTTGTGCTCACTCTTATTCTGGTTTCCTTCCTCTCTCTCCCTACCTCCCCTTTCCCTCTCTTGTCTCTGTCATACTTCAGAAACATAGTGTTCTTATTCTCTCTTATTACAACAAAACTTGTGCATTCATACTCCCAGATCTGCCTATTATTAGTTGAATTAATGAAGAGTTGTGCTACACTTGAGAATTTATTGGTGTTTTAGGACTACAGTTGTTTCTGTTGCTAAATTTAAGACATGATTATTCAAATCTACAAGTGTGGTAATGCTTGTGAGTAGCAATAGACTTTTTGAAGACTTTGTAATAGTTTTTTTTAAATCATTTTTTAAATTGTGAAAATACCGTACAGAGGGGTTACAATTACATGAGCAAGGTAATGAGTACATTTCTTATTAAGCATTGTTGCCTCCTGTAATAGTTTTAAGAAACAATTTAATAGCTTTACTGACTGGAGCTGGGGGCATAGATAGATCCAAGTGGAAGAATGCTAGCACATGGCTTTCTGTTCAATCCCCAGTATTAAAAAATTAACAACAACAAAAAACTACCTTTTCTTTGCTCTGTTTAGAAATAAAACTTTCTATATTGAATTGTTTCATAATTTAGCATTCTGATGGATTTAACAGTATCAGTATTAGAATATGCCACATATTTTTTGTATTTAAAAGAGAACCATTATACTCTGTTTTCAGAAACCTAAACTTGAACACACTAAGTTTTTCCTAGTTTTGATTATCACATAACTTCCTTTAAGCTGAAACGTGGCTGCAGTTATATTGCTAGGGAAATTAAACTCCCAAAGACACAAGGAAACAGAATAGAAATTCTACAAATCTTTTCTTTATTCTGTACTTGAGATTGAATTCAGTTGGAATTCTTCCATAAATTTTAAGTTGTTCTCAGTTTAAAAAAAATATATACCTCCGGGCTGGGAAGTTGGCTCAGTGGTAGAGTGCTTGCCTTGCATGCCTGAGGCCCTGGGTTCGATTCCTCAGCACCATATAAGCAAAAAGAAAAAGCCGGAAGTGGCACTGTGGCTCAAGTGGTAGAGTGCTATCCTTGAAATGAAGAGCTGAGGGACAGCGCTCAGGCCCAGAGTTCAGGCCCCACAACCATACCCAAAAAAAAATGTATACCTCATTATATTAAAAGACAAAAAAAGAATATTAGACTTCAGCTTCATATTTTCCCTTAAGTTCATTTTACTGGTGTCAGTCAATAGAATTACATTCTTCACTGTTGGAAGCAGGTTACATACTTACTTGCAAAGTTTTATAGCATTGTCATTAGAGTAATAAATGTATTAATTAACAAACACAGTATATGTTTGTTAATTGGTACAATGTGGTACATTGTTGTATTTTAAAGACTTCTCTATTTGTGATTGTTTCAGTGTTGGCTGTTTTTTTTGTTGTTGTTTTTTGGGTTTTTTTTTTTTTTTTTGCAGATGTGTAGCACTTTGCAGTTTAGGCATTTGGATTTGTGAAGAACTAGTCCACGAGTCTCACCATCCTCAAATCAAAGAAGCTCTGAATGTAATTTGTGTTTCCTTAAAGGTAAGGAAAATGATTTGATAAATTGCTAATATAGAATGCATATTTTTCTTGTACATATTCATGGTACCTTGTGCATTTGTGAAATAAAACATTGAAAAAATACTTCAATTAGTTTATTGTTACATGATTTCTTTGATCCTGACTCTCCTTAAGAATAGTTCTATCTTAGCCAAGCACCAGTGGCTCCTGCCTATCATTCTAGCTTCTCAGGAGACTGAAATCTGAGATGGTGGTTCAGAGCCAGCTCAGGCAGGCAAGTCCGTAAGAGTTCCTAAGTCTTGTTTCATAAGCACCAGAAATGGAGCACAAGCCTTGAGCAATACAGCTGAAGGCCAGCACCCAGGCCCTGATTTAAGCACACATGCACACGAATGTGTGCGTGCACACACACACACACACACAGAGTTCTCATCTTGAGTTTAGAGTATTTTTGTGATGAACTTTTTATGTATTTGGCCTTGTCCCTTGAATGTTTGAGGAAGGCTCTTAAAAAAAACCAATTAGCTTTTTAACTAGTGTTTTTGTGACTTTTTGATCTTTATTATTTCCTAAATTCTTGAACTATTTAGCTTTTGTGTTTCTCATTAAAGATAAATGCTGTCTTTATAGCCTGCATAGATTTCTTTCTTTCTTTTTTTTTTTTGTCGGTTGTGGGGCTTGAACTCTGGGCCTGGGCGCTGTCCCTCAGCTCTTCAGCTCAAAGTGAGCGCTCTACCACTTGAGCTGCAGCGCCACTTCTGCCTGCATAGATTTCTGTGGAAGAACTAATCTAATAATTTGGAAAATCTGATTAAGTTATTTTTTTTTGTTGTTCTGAAACAGGATCTCACTATTATCTCAAGCTGACCTTGAACTTACTATGTAGCCCAGGCTCACCTCAAACTTACCATTCCCCAGCTTCTGCCTCCTGAGTACAAAGATTGCCCAATTTAAATTTTTTTTTACCTATTTATATATTATTTAGATGTATATATATATTTTTTTTTGGGGGGGGGTCCGGTTGTGGGGCCTGAACTCTGGGCCTGGGTGCTGTCCCTCAGCTCTTCAGCTCAAGGCTGCTCTACCACTTGAGCCACAGCGCCACTTCCAGCTTTTTTCTTTTTGCTTATGTGGTGCTGAGGAATCGAACCCAGGGCCTCAGGCATGCAAAGCACACGCTCTACCACTGAGCCATCTTCCCAGCCCCAGATGTATATTATTTTTATCATTGAACTCCTACCGTAACACCCATTGAAGACTCTTAACTATACATCTTGCTAATATGTTCTTGAATAGTATTATTTACTTGATAGATATTTCTGAATATATACTATGTTCAAATTACTTTGCTAGACAAAGTGAAGATAAAAGAATAAAAACTGCACATTATCTTTGAGACAATAATAAGCTGTAAAGTGTTAAAATATGAGTTATAAAACAGATTACTACAGGAGTGGTACATACAAACTGCTGATTTACTTTAGAGAAAACAGAGATTGCATGGCTTAGTTATCAGAAGACTTGGGGAAAGAAAACATTTTGTTGCAGCTTGAAGTATGTATGAAATTTGGATATAGAGAGATAGGCATGAAAAGTTTGACTTGGCTATCGCAGAAATCTTTTAGGAGTTTTAAGCTTAGAGAATGTCAGGATCAGAGCAATGCTTTAGAAGTTTAATTTGGAAATGTAATGAGTAGATTGTAATGGTGGAAACTTGATAACAAGATTAGAAGTTTAAAAACCATTGCAGAATTCCAGATAAAAGAAAATGCAATTCAAGTTTAATGGTTATTAGTCAAACATTACAAAGAAAATGTAAAATGATTTTGTCCTTATGTTTTTTAAAAATTTTGCAGCTGTAGATTTATCTTCCTAATAGTATTATAATATTCAAAATTACAGTGATATAAGAAAAGTAAAAATCAACTAATTCATTGATAAATCATAAAGAAATTTTTTATAACAGTGATCTTTTTGTTACTATTGCAGTTTACTAATAAAACAGTAGCTCATGTAGCTTGTAATATGCTTCACATGCTGGTTCATTACATACCCAGACTTCAGATTTACCAGCCTGATTCTCCCTTGAAAATTATTCAGGTAAGTAACTTCTCATTTATTTTCATTATGACCTTGTAAAAATGTCTTATTTTAGATATCTTAAAATGAAAAATAATTTAATAGGTGTTAAAATTTTTTGCATAATTCTATAATGGTTATACCACATGCTTTTTGTACTTTCAGAATTCCCCTTCCTTTGTATTTTATATTAGAAGTTTGTTTTCTTCATTTTTGACAGACTTTAATGTACATTGTAAAAATGTACCAAGTAACTTTTGAGGAAATGTACAGTATTGGGACAGATAGGGGATGAAGGGTAGAAAGAGTGATATTGACATTTATCAAGATGCGTTGTACTCATAATCTGACTTGTTGAATTGAAACCCTTTTGTACACTTATGAAATAATTTTAACACTCAATAATTTTGCTTTTTGTTGTTGTTGTTGGTTGTGGGGCTTGAACTCTGGGCCTGGGCACTGTCCCTCAGCTCTTCAGCTCAAGCCCAGCTCTCTACCACTTGAGCTACAGCACTACTTCAGTTTTCTGGTAGATAGGAGATAAGAGTCTCACAGACTTTCCAGCCCAGGTTGGCTTTGAGCTGCAATCCTCAGATCTCAGCATCCTCAGTAGCTAGAATTACAGGTGTGAACCACCAGTATGCAGCTAATTTTGCATTTTAAAGTGATTTAAATATCTTTAAAAAGAAAAAAAGGTTTTCATTTTGGACATAATAAAAACAGTTTTATTAGTTATAGAACATTGAATGTTAATGCAAATTTTATTCTTGAAGCTATAAATCTATATTCTGCTCCATTTTCTCTTAAGTTAAGATATTACATCTTGCCATTTATCAAAGTTAGGACATTAGTTCTTTTATGTCCTTTCTCAGTTATTTATGAAGATTTTGATTGTGTGGATTTTTTTTTTGTTTTTAGTTTTTAGTTTGCTTTGTTGGTTTTGGTTAGGTTGGTTGGGGTTTGCGTTTGGATTTTTTTCTTTATTTTTTCCTTTGAGATACTAGAGTTTGAACTCAGGGCCTTCTGGTCTACCATTTGAGTTGTGCCCCTGGACTATAATTTTTTCATTCTCATTCATTCTTATATACTTTCTGTAACACCTGACATTTTGGTCATTTATTTCTTTTTTGAAATATTGTAATAACCTTCTTCTGGCTTGTACAATGTTCCCCTTGAAGGCACCATTCCTATTCACATTATTCTTTTAGGTAGCCTGAAAAAAAGGAAAATAAAAATCATTTCCCTTCTACTATAAATATAGTCCAGTTTTTTTTTTTTTTGCTGCTGAAAATTGAAAATTTCCAAATGAGGACCCAGCCTATCTTTCCAAACTTGTGTGCAGATTCCTTTGTCCAGGCTTACTCATATTTAGATATATCTCTTACTCTCTTGTTATTACGTGAAATGTTTCATGTTTTTTCGTTATTGGCTTTTAAAACTATCTCCTAGAGGGAAGTGGGGAGGACAGGGATGGGAAACAGAGGAAGAGGCAACAATGCTTGATAAGAAATGTATTCATTGCCTTGCTCATGTAATTGTAATCCCTCTGTATGGTATTTTCACAATAAAAAAAAAGTTTAAATGTTTTTAGCATTTCTTTAAATATTTATAAAAACTTCTGTTACTCAATCTTGTATAACATTCTCCAGTCTAAAGACGATTATTAAAGCTCCTACCTTAATCTTAGGATGTATTAAAAAAAAAACTATCTCCTCAAAAAATAAAAATTTCTTATCTGCTTTTCCCAACCACAATCTTTCCTATATTTCTTTTTTTTTTTTTTTTTTGTCGGTCATGGGGCTTGAACTCTGGGCCTGAGTGCTGTCCCTCAGCTCTTCAGCTCAAGGCTAGCACTCTACCACTTGAGCTACAGTGCCATTTCCAGTTTTCTAGTGGTTTATTGGAGATAAGAGTTTCGAGGACTTTCCTGTCCGGGCTGGCTTTGAACTGGGCTGTCTTTGAACCGGTGATCTTCAGATCTCAGCCTCCTGAGTAGCTAGGATTACAGGCGTGGGCCACCAGTGCCAGGCTCCTATATTCCTTTTTTTTTTTTTTAATTTCTTTTATCTTTATGTAGTTTTATAAAAGGATTTCGGTACTAAAGCATATCACTAATGGTTACCTATTTGCAGAATTAAGTATAGAATCCAAATTTTGTTACCAGTATGAAGCAGATGCATCTCATATACTAGATTTGACCAAAATAGTCCTTTTCTTTATAAAAGTATATTTATTTTAATTATTGGTTGAAACAAAATTGCATGTATTTATTGCATTTCAGTAGTAGAATGATCAAATCATGTCAGTTAGGATAACTGTCATAAATATCATCTTAACTATCTCTTTGAGCCTTTTTTTTTTTTTTTGGGGATGATCTTGCTATCTATCTGTCTTTGTTTTTTTTGTCCGTTCGTGGGGCCTGAACTCTGGGCCTGGGCACTGTCCCTCAGCTCTTCAGCTCAAGGCTAGCGCTCTACCACTTCAGCCATAGTGCCACTTCCGGCTTTTTTCTTTTTGCTTATGTGGTGCTGAGGAATCAAACCCAGGGCCTCAGGGCATGCAAGGCAAGTGCTCTACCACTGAGCCACCTTCCCAGCCCCCTTGCTATCTATCTATCTACATGTATATTATCCCATGTTTTCCTCAAACTTACCATGTAGTCAAGCTAACCTCAGACTCCTGCATCTACCCACTGATTGCTGAGATTATAGCATGTACCACCATGCCTGCATTATTATTATTATTATTAATTTTCAGTCCTGGTACTTCAAGGCCTGAACTCAAGGCCTCAATACTGTCCCTGAGCCTCTTTGTGCTCAAAACTAGTGCTGTACCACTTGATCCACAATACCACTTCTGGCTTTTTCTGAGTAGTTTATTAGAGATAAGGGTCTCATGAATTTTCATGCTATGATTGGCTTCAAACCACAATCCTCAGATCTCAGCCTCTTGAGTGGCTAAGATTACAGGTGTGAGCCACTGGCTCCTGGCTCATACCACATTATTATTAGCTGTAGTCACTCTGCTATGTGATAGAGCACCCAGACTTATTCCTAATTATACAGCATACCTGTTGACAAACTTCTCTCCACTCTTCCCATATCCTTACCTTCCTCAGCCTCTTCCGCCACAGGATTTTATCTTTTCTTGGCTGCATAGTATTTATATAGTGTGTGTGTGTGTGTGTGTGTGTGTGTGTGTGTTATATATATGTAAATATATATATATATATATATATATATATATAGACATGGAGAGAGAGAACACATTTTCCTTATCCATCTGACCACTGATAGACAACTAGGTTGGTTCCATACCTTGGTCATTTTGAATGGTGCTATGATAAACATAGAGTACAGATGTCTTTTCAACAAACTGATTCAATTTCTTTTATATATACCCTGCAGTGGAATTACTAGATCCTACATATGGTAGTTCCATGGATTGTTTTGTTTTGTTTTTTGATGTTCATCCATTTTTTTTTCACTTTTGCTGTCCTAATTTACAATTCCAGTCGTGAGTAAAAGTTCTCTTTTTTTTCCACCTTCTCTTTTTTGTGGTCCAAGAACAAGACTCAAACTCAGAACCTGACGTGTTCACTCATTGGCTAGTGGTCTACCACCTAAGCCATGCCTCTAACCTTTTTTTTCCTACTAGTGTTTGTAATCTTTTGTCTTTTTCTTTTTTCTCTTTCTTTTTTTTTTGCCAGTCCTCTGCTTCAATTCAGGGCCCGTGCACTGATCCTGAGCTTTTTTTCAGCTTGAGGCTAGTGTTCTGCTACTTGAGCCACAGCTCCTATACCAGCTTTGGTTGTTTTTTGTTTGTTTGTTTTATGAATAATTGGAGATAAGACTTTGCTGCCCAGGTTGGTTTTACTTCAAATCTTAACCACCTGAGTAGTTAGGATTACAGGTGTGAGCCATCAGTGCCTGGCTATCTTTTGTGTTTTTTTTTTTTTTTTTTTAACAGCAGGCATTCAGGCCAGAGTAAGGAGATCTCTCATTGTAAGTGTTTGTTTTGGTTTTTCATGCTAGGTATTTAACCCAGGGCCTCTAGAGCATGTTTTCTACTAATAAGCTTTCACTTCAGCCCTCACTACAGTTTTGACTTATATTTCTCTGATTAGTAGTTATGTCCAGCACTTTTTCATATATTTATTAGCTTATGTATTCTTTTTTTTTTGTCAGTTGTAGGGCTTGAACTCTGGGCCTGGGCACTATCCCTTCACTCTTCAGCTCAAGGCAAGCGCTCTACTACTTGAGCCACAGCGCCACTTCCAGTTTTCTAGTGATTTATTGGAGATAAGAGTCTCACGACTGTCTTGGAACCGGTGATCCTCAGATCTCAGCCTCCTGAGTAACTAGGATTACAGGCGTGAGCTACCAGCTCCTGGCTGGTATTCTTTTAAGGAATATCTATTCAGGTCTTTTACTCATTCTTTTCAATCAGTGAATTTGTTTTCTTGGTCTTAATAGTTTGAGTTTATAATGTATATTTTGAAGAATTTTTTTACTTCATACATTAAAACAATAATTTATTAAAACATAATAGTAAGCATTAAAAATTTGTACAGATAGGGCTGGGAAGGTGGCTCAGTGGTAGAGCGCTTGTCTTGCATGCCTGAGGCCCTAGGTTCGATTCCTCAGCACCACATAAGCAAAAAGAAAAAAGCCGGAAGTGGCTCTGTGGCTCAAGTGGTAGAGCGCTAGCCTTGAGCTGAAGAGCTGAGGGACAGCGCCCAGGCCCAGAATTCAGGCCCACTACCGGACCCCCCCCCAAAAAAAAATTTTGTACAGATACATTTTCAATGTTCAGTCTTGAAAACCTGAGTTAAAAAAGCCAGGTGCCTAGCTGGGCACTGGTGGCTCACTCCTATAATCCTAGCTACTCAAGAGGCTGAAATCTGAGGATTGAGGTTCAAAGCCAGCCAGGCAGAAAGAAAGGTCCCTGTAAGACTTCTATCTCCAATTAACCACTCAAAAACCGTGAGTGGAGCTGTGGCTCAAAGTGGTTGAGTGCTAGTCTTGAGCAAAAGTGTTCAAGGACAGCACCCAGGCCCTGAGTTCAAACCGCACAACCAATAACAGCAGCAAAAAGCCAGGTGTCAGTTGCTTACACCTTGTAATCTTAGCTACTCAAGAGACAGATCCAAAGGGTTATGGTTTGAAGCCAGCCCTGGCAGAAGCTTCATTCATATCCAAAATAATAAGCTATAAAAGTTGGGGTAGAGCCGGGTGCCGGTGGCTCACGCCTGTAATCCTAGCTACTCAGGAGGCTGAGATCTGAGGATCAAGGTTCAAACCCAGCCTGGGCAGGAAAGTCCAGGAGACTCTTATCTCCAATAAACCACTAGAAAGCGGCAAGTGACACTGTGGCTAAAGCGGTAGAGCACTTACCTTGAGCTGAAGAGTGCAGGGACAGGGCCCAGGCCCCCAAAGTTCAAGCCCCACGACCGACAAAAAAAAGCTGGGGTAGAGGCATGGTTCAAGTTGTGGAGTGCTAACTGAGCAAGCCAAAGGACCTGAGTTCACACTTGGTGTCACAAAAAAAAAAAATTAAAAACTCAAAGCTTGATTTGCTTGACAATGGGGTACATACTTGCAATACCAGTTATGTGGGAGATGGAGGCTGGAAAGTCACTTGAACCTAGCAGTTTGATGTTATCCTAGAAAGACCATCCTAGAAAGACCTCATCTCAAAAAATAAATTTGAAAGAAACCAAAAATTTTCCAGGGTAAATGATATTACTATATGTAAATATTTTGCCTTTTAATAACGCCTTTTATTTATGTCCCATATTCTTCATATATATTCAATAAATAGTTTTTATTCATTTAAAAAGCTGCATGTTTATATGTACACAGTGAGTTTCTCTTATCAGAAATTCTTGGGACCAGAAGTGTTTCAGACTTTGGAGTTTTTTGGAATTGGGAATCATGGATTTCTTTTATAGATTTCACCAGTTGAGCATCCCTAATCCAAAATATTTAAAATGCCTCAAAACCCAAAATTTTGGGCATCATGTTGGTGCTCCATGTTTAGGATTTCAAAGTATTTTGAATTGAGGATTAGGGATGGCTTATCTAGTATATATAGGAAAATCTAGAGAGGCAGCAAAATAGATTTCTTGAAGTGCTAGGATTGCAGTTATTTTTATAAATCTTTTTACTTATCTATATCTTTAAATTTTTCTATATATTCACCTCATTCAGCATGAAGTTATTTATTGACAGAACGTGGAATTTTGATTCTGTGCATGAATATTGAAATTGATTGATGTTAAATATTCTTCAAAAGGCTACCTAGTATAAGTTATGTAAAAATAATAGTATAAAACCAGGCATTTGTGGCTCATGCCTATAATCCTAGCTACTCAGGAGGCTGAGATCCAAGGATTGTGGTTCTAAGCCAGCCCAGGCAGGAAAGTGCCTGAGACTCTTATCTCTAATAAACTGCTCAGAAAAAGCCAGAAATGGCACAGTGACTCAAATTGGTAGAGCACTAGCCTTGAGCACAAAGAGGCTCAGGGATAGTGCCCAGTCCCTGAGTTCAAGCCCCAGGACCAGCAAAAATAAATAAAAATAATAATTGTGTGTATACTTGAAAAGCTTACCTATTATTAAGTTACTTGAAATTATAGTGTGTATATTAAGTAATATAGTTAGATAATGTATTTAGGATTAATTTGTGGCAGTGGATTTTTTATCACTTTAGCATATAACAATTAAGTTTAAGACATATGAATTTAACATATTTTGAGCTTATTGATTTATTTTTGCTGACAGATCCTGATAGCCACTATCACTCATCTTTTGCCAAGTACAGAAGCTTCATCTTATGAAATGGACAAGAGGGTAAATTTTGTCTGACATTTAATATGTGGTTATGTAGAATACTTATTTTTAAAAATTTAAGGTACATACATTTACATAATAAAATTAATGTATAATAGATCTTCCCATTTTTGAATACAACTAAAGTATATTTCATGACACTTTGGAAAATTCTTTGACTCTCAAGATAGTAAAGAACCTTAGGGAATATTCTTTTCACTTAGAGTAATTTTGCTATATCCTGACAAAACATTTTGCTGTTATTCCTGAAAACTATTGATTCTGAGAAATTTACCACTTCAGAAGGGCAGTCACTTGTTTTTATATAGTTATTGATGAAAAGTAAAGATATTTCAGGAAGCAAAGTACATAGAGGTCTACATACCATTTAGGAGAAGATAGTCTATTCACCAAATGTTTTACAAGTGACATTAACCATCATGAAATCATTGAGTCTTTTAATTATTTGATATTAGATTTATTAGTTTAAGTTGAGAAAAGGGAAAAAAGAAATTACAGAGATAGAGCCCGGAAACCTTAAAATTTTGTGAAAATTCTTCAAAATGATTTTTTAAGATGTTTAATTCAATAAGACCAGTTTATGAAAAATTACTTAAGAAAATCTGAACTGAAGCTAGGCACCAGTGGCTCATATCTGTTATCATAGCTACTTAGGAAGCAGAGATCTGAGGATCACAGTCCAAAGCCAGCCTGGTCAGGAAAGTCTGTGAAACTAGTATAAGCTAAGAAATTTCCAATAAGCTAAGAAAAAAAGTGAACCAAGAGGAGTAATATGATCATTGTTATTAAAAGTATCTATAAGAATTGACGTTCAGAATATCAAATGGAATTCACAAGCAAGAAAAGGAATACAGGCAAAAGATGAGAATCATTAGTGCTAGGTGCATAGTTTAAGTGGCAAAACCCTTTCCTAACAAGGCCCTGGGTTCAGTTCGTAGCACTGTAAGGGGGAAAAGCAGAACTATTGGAGGCATATGTATTTCAATTTTCTGTGCCCTTTGGGAATAGTAACCAGTTATAATAGCAAACAGTTATAAATGTGATTATAAAATTCAAGTCTGGAAATGAAATCTTGGCATTTAAACACGTAAGAAGTATTACATTTGTGGGACTACATGATCATGTAAGGAAAGACAACTGAGTAAGAAGAGTTTGCAAAATATGAGACAGTGAAGATTGACAGGGGATAAACAGCAGCAGAAGAATCAGTAAAAGTTACTGAAAGGACTCATAGGAGAGGCAGAAAGAAAACCAGGTCCATGAGAATAAAAAAACATGGGAGGGAAGGTTAGTCTCACAAATGCTTTTCTGAACTCAGTTTTGTTAACCACTTTTATACACAAATCAGCAAGCTCAAACAACAGCATATTTGAACAAATAGAGATACTCAATTATAGCCTAGCTACTTGACTGAAGAAATTTACCCTTCAACCTATATGTTCCAACAGACAGGATCATCATTCAGCATGATTTACCCATCTTTTGTGGGCCAGTCACAGATTTCTATGTTTTTCAGATATACCTTATTATTGTCATCTTGAGACATATATATCTGGCTTTCTTTTGTGAAAGATGAACAACAGAATATTATCTAAATATTCTATGTTGAATCCTAATACTTATTTAAAAAACTATCACCTTCCAAATTTCATTTTTATTCACAGCCCTTTTAAATATAAACAGGAATTTAGATAATGTCCTAAATACAAGAAGGCAAGTGTAATTTACATGATGAAAACAGCTGTAGTTGAGTGCACATAACAATGCATCCTAATACTTTTTTTTGTTGTTGTTTTTGGTTGTGGGGCCTGAACTCTGGGCCTAGCCACTGTCCCTCAACTCTTCAGCTCAAGGCTAGTGCTCTACCACTTGAACCACAGAGCCACTTCCGGCTTTTTCTGCTTATGTGGTGCTGAGGAATCAAACCCAGGCCTCATGCATGCAAGTCAAGCATTCTACCACTGATCCACCTTCCCAGCCCCTAATACTTTTAAATTTTTCTTGGTCAGGGTGGTCTTGTCTTATTAGAAGCTTGTTTATTACATATAGAAAGATACAGAGTTATTATGTTTACTTTGTTTTATTTAATTATATTATCTCTTAATGTCTTCATGTAAGCCACCGTATAAAGAGACATTTCTCATACATGGCCTTCAAACTGTTAGGACAGATATAGCTGGTCCTTATATCTTAACTTTAACTTTGAAGAATATGAGCAAATTTTTCATGGGCAAGGAGTTTTAAATTTCTAAAACAGTTCATAATCACTGGTGAATATGGCCTTACAAGTTTAACGTGAAAAAGTTTCACTAAAAAAGTGAAAAGGGAGTCTGAGTGTTTTACACAATGGTAGAACACTCACTTAGCACTATAAAAGGCCTAGATACTGAAAGAAAAAGAAATTTAAAAATTTTATTATATTGGATTGTGTGTATTATTTCACCTTCAAAAAACCTTTCTGACTTTGATGAGTATCTTTTAATCCTTACTTTACAGAGAGAGTTAAGACTTAGAGAGGTTAAGTCTCCCAGCTTCTTACACTTGTTACTAAATATTAAGCTGAAGAATGGAACCTAAAATTGGAAGACATATACCAAAATTGATGTTCGTTCAGCTGACATCATTTTAGAACTTTCATTTGAGTTTTAAGTTAGAATGAAATTTTAGGTTTTTTTTTTTTTTAGTTTTAGTTGTTTAGCATACTGGGGATTGAACCAGGGCCTAATGAATACTATGCAAACGCCCTTCCATGTTTATGCTTCTCCATACCTGGGATGACATACATAATGCCACTGCACCCAGCTTATTGGTTGAGAGTGGTTCTCATAACCTTCTACTAGTCATAAACTTTAATCCTTCTGATTTCAGTCCCCCAAGTATATAGGATCATGGCATAAGCAACCATTCCCTGCAAGGGAAAGAGTGGTATATTAAATTCTTCGATATTAGTATTTTTTTCCTTGTATTTTTTGTAGTTTTTTAAAAGGTACTCAATATGTTATTAGATATGTAGATATTCATGTTTTATATTCATTTTGAGTTAATTTTTTATTTGTGCCAATTCTGGGGCTTGAAGTCAGGTCCTAGGTGCCATCCCTGAGCATTTTTGCTCAAGAATAGTGCTCTACCACTTGAACCTCAACTTTACTTTTGGGTTAAAAACTTTTTTAGAAAAGGTGATGTACATGGGGGGGAGGGGGGAGGCGGGGAAGGGATGTGAAGGGTAAACAAAGGAGGAGGCTGCAATGCTTGGTAAGAAATGTACGCATTATCCTGCCCATGTAATTGTAACTCCTCTGTACAGCATGTTCACAAATAAAATAAAATTAAAAAAAAAAGAAAAGGTGATGTACAGAAAGGTTTCACTTACATAAGTAGGTAATGAGTACATTTCTTTTTGGACAGTGTCACCTCTTTCCTCGCTTTCTCTGTTTTTCCCTCCCAACCCCACAACCCACACACCTTCTCGACATAGTGTCTAATGAGTACCACTGCTGCATTTGTTCACCCTTTCTCTCTCCATTTTGGTAACTCCTGGCTTTTTGATGATTAATTGGAGATAAGGGTTAATCCGAGGCAAACATCTCAAACCTTGATACTCATATCTCAGTCTCCTGAGTAGCTAGGGTTACATGTGTGAGCCACTGGCAGAATTACCATTTTTGTCATTTATCAGTTTAGTTTATTAAGTTTGAAGTCTAATTTTTCTTTTAAACATTTGCTTATGCTTTTAACTTTAGCTTTTCCAAGTCTTAACTCTTCCTTTTTTTCCCCTTTCCTCCCCCCTCCTCTCCCTGCCTTCCCTTCTCTCTCTGTCTGTCTCTGTCTCTCTGTCTCTGTCTTGCTCTCTCTCTCTCTCTCACTGGACTTTGACCTCAGGTCCTCATGCTTCCTAGACTGGCACTCTACCACTTGGGCCATCCCCATACCCTGCTTTTTTCTGGCTATTTTGGAGATGGAATCTGGTAAACTTTTCTGCTTTGGTTCCCCATTCAGGGGATTCTCCAGATATCAGCCTCCTTAGTATTTTAAGATTAATGGCATGAGCTATGTATATGTCAATAGTTGGACTTAGAATTAATGGTTTCTGAAATAAATTATGGAAGCCCAAGAATAAAAAGAAATATTCAATATACATTATTTTCTCATTCTTATTATTGTCACAGTTGGTTGTATCCTTACTTCTTTGCCTTTTGGACTGGATTATGGCATTACCTCTAAAGACATTACTCCAACCAATCCGTGCTGCAGGAACAGAAAATGATAAGACAGAAAAATCAGTCCTTAATTGCATTTATAAGGTAAGCTCCCTTGCTTGGTTTACTATTTACTTAATAACCAAAGGTTTTTAAGAAATATAGAAACAATTACAAAGAATATTAAAAGGGAGATTATAATCTGAAGAAGACAATCAAGATCAGGGATCCATATCAGATATCACTAGAAGACCAACTTAGTAAGTACAGGAGGAAAGGAAAGAATAAAAACTTAGAAAAGCAGGAAAATGACAGGAAACACAATGTACCTCTCTATAATAACGATAAATATTAATGGGCTCAATTCACCAATCAAAACAAAAAGAACTGCAGATTGGATCAGACAGCAAGATCCATCCATTAGTTGTGTTCAAAAGACCCATCTCAAGATATACCATGTCAATGCTCCCAGAAAGAAGGCGGGAGTGGGCTGGGAAGGTGGCTCAGTGGTCGAGCGCTTGCCTTGCATGCCTGAGGCCCTGGGTTCGATTCCTCAGCACCACATAAGCAAAAAGAAAAAAGCCGGAAGTGGCGCTGTGGCTCAAGTGGTACAGTGCTAGCCTTGAGCTGAAGAGCTGAGGGACAGCGCCCAGACCCAGAGTTCAGGCCCCACGTCCGGACCAAAAAAAAAAAGAAGGCAGGAGTCATCATCCTGATAACTGAAAAAATAAACTTTTCGTTAAAATCAATACAAAAAGACGAAGAAGGACACTACATATTAATGCAGGGAACAATCCAAGAAGAGGATATCACCATTATCAATTTATACTCTCCAAACCTTAGTGCACCCAAATACATTAAGCAAGTACTCTCAGACTTACAGGAAAAAATAGATCCAAATACAATAATACTAGGAGACTTTAATACTCCACTCTCACTAAAGGACTGGCAAAGAAGCCTCCAAATTAAATGATGCTATATCTCGTGGACTTAATTGACATCTACAAAGTTTTTCACCCAACAAAACCACAATACACATTCTTAGTACCATGGAACTTTCTTCAACATAGACCATATCATAGTGCACACAAAGAATTTAAGCAAATACAAGAGGATCAACATAATCCCTTGTAGTCTATCTGACCATAGTGAAATCAAGCTAATTCTCAATAACAAAACATACCGTAGAAATTACTCAAATACATGGAAATTAAACAGCACCTTTCTGAGCAACACCTGGGTCACAGAAGAAACTAAAAAGTTCCTATAATTCAATGAAAATTAATATACATTGCAAAGAAATCTATGGGACATGTCAAAAGCAGTCCTGAGGGGCAAATTTATTGCTCTCAGAGCACACATCAAGAAAATAGAGACAGACCAAGTAAATAATCTCATGATGCAACTAAAACTGCTATAAAAGCAAGAAAAAATTGAACCTTAAACCTATTAGACAGAGTGAGATAACCAAAATAAGAGCTGAAATTAATGAGATAGAGACTAAGAAAACTAAATTAATACAAAAGGCTGTTTTAAAAAAAAATCAGTAAAATTGATGGACCTCTGGCAAGATTAACTAAAAAAAAGAGACTCAAATCAGTAAGATCAGAGATGCCACAGGAAAAATTACAAATACCCCATAGATCCAAACAATTATGAAGAACTATTTTCAGAATCTATACTCAGGAAGGAAAACCTAGCAGAAATGGATGAATTTTTAGAGAAATACAAATTGCCCAAATTAAACCAAGAAGAAATAAATCAAATAAGCCAATAACTTACAATGAGATAGAGGACGCAGTCAGATGTCTTCCAACCAGGAAAAGCCCAGGACCAGATGGATTCACTATGGAATTCTATAAGACCTAGAGGGACTAATACCTATACTCCTTAAGATCTTCCAAGAAATAGAAACAGAGTGAGCAATCCCAAACTCATCCTGTGAAGCCAGTATTACACTCATCCCCAAACCAGGTAAAGAACTGCAGACAACACAGATGCAAAGCTCTTCAATAAAACTTTAGCCAACCTTATGGTCAAGTAGGCTTCATCCCAGAGATGCAGGGATGGTTTAACATATGTAAATCAAAATAAATGTAATTTATCACTTCAGCAGATTCAAAGTCAAGAACTACATTATCTCCATTGACACAGAAAAGGGTTTTGATAAATACAACATTCAATCATGTTAAAAGCTCTGAAGAAAGCCAGGCACTGGTAGCTCACGCCTGTAATCATAGCTACTCAGGGGGCTGAGAGCTGAGGATCACAGTTCAAAGCTGGCCCAGGCAGGAAAGTCCATGAGACTTGTCTCCAATAAACTACCAGAAAACCAGAAGTGGTGCTGTGGCTTAAGTGGTAAAGTACTCGCCTTGAGTAAGCTGGGAGCTGAGGGACAGCACCTAGGCCCAGAGTTCAAGTCCCACCCCCCCCCAAAAAAAAAAACCTCTGAAAAAAATAGGAATAGAAGGAACATTTCTTAAAACAATAAAACCATATATAACACACCAGTAGCCATTATTATACTAAACAGAAAAACTACAACCAATTCTCCTAAAAGGCAAGGATGCCCACTCTCTCCACTTCTCCTCAGTATAGTTCTGGAATCCTTAGCTAGATCAATAAGGCAAGAAAAAGACATTAAAGGGATCCGCATAGGGAAGGAAGACCTTAAATTATCCCCATTTGCAGATGACATGATCTTGCAACTTAACAAACCCCAAAACTCCACTCCTAAACTCTTAGAGCTTAAAAACACTTTGGCAAAGTAGCAGGATAAAAAATTAACCCACAAAAATCAGTTGCCTTTTCTGAACACCAACAATGTACAAGCAGAAAGGGAAATCAAAGAAACAACCCCATTTACAATAACCTAAAAAATGTCTAGGAATGAACCAAAGTTGTAAAGGAACTATTTAGTGAAAACTAAAAAGCCTAAAGAAAGAAATCATAGAGAACACCAGGAAATAGAAAGACCTTCCATGTTCTTGGATAGGCAGAATTAGTAATGCAGTAAAAATGGCCATTCTGCAAAAAATGATACACAAACTCAATGCAATTCCCATCAAAATCCCAACGATGTTCCTTACTGAAATAGAAAAAAATAATCCAAAAATTCATATGGAACAACAAAAGACCTAGAATAGCCACAGCAATTCTAGGCAAAAGAAACAGTGTGGGAGGGATCACGATACCAGATTTTAAGCTTTACTATAGAACCGTAATAACAAAATAGACCCAAAGACCAATGGAAAAAACTAGAAGATCCAGAAATAAAACCACCTTATTTGAAGTCAACTGATATTTGACAAAGGTACCAAAGACATACAGTGGAAAAAGCATAGCCTCTTCAACTCTTGGTGCTGGGAAAACTGTGCAGCCACTTGCAGAAAACTAAAAGTGGACCCCAGCCTGTCACCATGTACTAGCATCAACTCAAAATGGATTAAAGACCTTAACATCAAACCTGAAACTCTGAAGCTAGTAGAAAAGACACTTGAACTTACTGGCACTGGCAGGAACTTCCTGAACAGAGTACCAGGGTCACAACAAATTGCAGAGAGACTCAACAAATGGGACTACCTTAAAATAAAAAGTTTCTGCACAGCTAAAGACATAGCTACCAAACTAGAAAGACAGCCAAACTAATTGGAAAAAATATTTACCAGCAATATATCACACAAGGGCCTAATATCCATTATATACAGGGAACTTAAGAAACTAATCCCTCCAGTCATTAAGGGAGCTAAAGGGACACTTCTCATAAGAGATAAAAATGGCAAAGAAACACATGAGGAAATGTTCATCATCCCTGGCTGTAAAGGAAATGCAAATATAAACAACTCTGAGATACCACCTCACCCTAGTCAGAATGGCCCACATCCTAAATTCAGCCAATGACAAATGCTGACAGGGATGTGGAGAAAAGAGGAACCCTATGCATTGCTGGTGGGAATGCACACTAATAAAACCACTCTGGAAAGCATTCTGGAACTTCCTCAGAAAGCTAAATATAGACCTTCCCTATGACTCAGCCATACCACTCCTAGGCATCTATCCTGAGCAACAGGAACTGGAATACAAGGACAAATGCACTTCCATGTTCATTGCTGCACTGTTCATAATAGCCAAGATACGGAAACAACCTAAATGCCCCACTACAGATGAATGGATCCAAAAATTGTGTTACCTATACACAATGGAATGTTACGCAGCCATTAGAAAGGAAAAATATAAGGAAACTGGATGGAACTAGAAAAAAAATCATTTTTTGAGTGAGGTAAGCTAAGTGCAGAGAGAAAAACGGCACATGGTCTCTCTGATATGTGGATGTTAAATCCAGAATGCAACGAGATATGACAAAGTAAACAGGACTCAAGAAACAAAGGACCTCCACTCAATTTGTTGTATCATTACTAAATGACTCCATGTTTTTGACCATATATATGGGATATAAACATGTGCACATCTGAGGGAAGCGAGGAGGAGGGCATAGAATCAGAGGGAAATAGGAAAAAATACAGCAGAGGGGCCCATCAGCTGGACATTGGTGGAAATGAACCAAGCAAATCAAGGGCAGTAATGGGAGGGAGGGAGGAAATGAGAAGGAACAGCTTGCAGTAAGCAAAAGGAAAGAAATGTACATATTACCCAATGTGGAAGAAATAGTTGTATTGTCAAAGTTCATAGAATTTACAAACATTAAAGACCATGATAATGACAATTTGCCTCATGAAGGTTAAAATGTGTTTGTGACTGTAGTATCACTATCTCACAATACTGTGAAATCTGTGAAATTTATGTAATCACTTAATCTCAATAAAAAATTAAATATATATATATATATATAGAAACGTCTATAACATTTTCATTGTTTTACAGTTAGTTATTTTTGAAGAATGTAGATTTACCTGACAATACCTAAAGGCACTTTAAAAGTACTTCCTAAATACTACATTATCTCACCACAAAAATTTGAAAGGAGTTAGAATCACTAGTGAAATTTTACTTTCTCCTTAAGAGATATTAAATTTTACCGTGGTTTAAGAAGTAAATTTTAAATTATGTTTTTGCCATGGTCTTACGTTACCATTTGCTTTTTCTTGTTTTAAATGTATTTGCTTTTATTTAAAAGTACAACTTGGGGGCTGCGAAGGTAGCTCAGTGGTAGAGTGCTTGCCTTGCATGCATGAGGCCCTGGGTTCAATTCCTCAGCACCAAATAAGCAGAAAAAGCCGGAAGTGGCACTGTGAGTCTATGGTAGAGCACTAGCCCTGAGCTGAAGAGCTGAGAGACAGCACCCAGGTCCAAAGTTCAGGCCCCACAACCAGCCAAAAAAATAAGTAAATAAAAGTAAAACTTGGTATTTTCTTTTCCTTTAGGTTTTACATGGTTGTGTGTATGGAGCTCAGTGTTTTAGCAATCCAAAGTATTTTCCAATAAGTCTGTCTGACTTAGCATCTGTAGATTATGATCCTTTTATGCATTTGGAATGTTTGAAAGAACCTGAACCTCTACATTCTCCTGATTCAGAACGCTCTTCTAAACTCCAGCCTGTAACCGAAGGTAACATCAGTTCTATTGAGGACAGTAACTACTTGGGCTCTTGCTAGGTGTGATTTGAGGCTGTGTGTTAAAATAATGAAGAACAGAATGTTTTTCTTTGTAGTTGTTTTTTGTTTACCTATACATGAACATTCTACCATTTTAGTTTAAGAAGTAACTTCATATATATAATTACTGATATTAATGTGATAATATTCTTTTTATACTTCTGGCTCATTCTTAGAAATGCTTTTTTATATTTTATCTTACACATCATTGAATTTATATCAAATAAGAGAACTTTAAAGTCTGATAAACTTGTCAGTCTGTTTCCTTATTTGTGAAATACAGATAACATTAGTTGCATAAGTTGTTTGAGGATCAAATGAGATTATATGTATAAGTATACTTTACACAATCCCTGGCATATTGTAGACTCACTACAAACTTTTTTTTAAGCAGTACTGGAATTTGAAATCAGAGTCTCATGCTTGCTAATCAGGCATTATTTACCTCTTGAACCACAATTCCAGCTCTTCAATAACTTTTTTTTTTGTCAGTTGTGGGGCTTGAACTCAGGGTCTGGACACTGTCCCTGAGTTGTTTTGCTCGAGGGTAGCTCTTTACCACTTGAGTCACTTCTGGCTTTTTTTTTGAGTAGTTTACTGGAGAGAAGAGTCTCATGGACTTTCTTTCAACTAGGCTGGCTTTGCATCAACTGTCCTTAGATCTCAGCCTCCTGAGTAGTTAGGATTACAGGCATGAGCCACCAGTACCCAGCTCCCAGCTTAATAACATGTTTTATGCTTTTTTTTGTTTTTGTTTTTGTTCTTGTTTTGTCAGTCGTGGGGCTTGAACTCCAGGCCTAGGTGCTGTCCCTCAGCTCTTCAGCTCAAGGCTACTGTTCTACCACTTGAGCCACTATGCCACTTCTGGCCTTCTTTGTTTTTATGGTGCTGAGGAATCAAACCCAGGGCCTCATGCATGCAAGGCAAGCACTCTGCCACTGAGCCACCTTTCCAGCCCTCAGTAACATGTTTTTAATCCACATTTTAAAGCCATTTTAACTTCTGAAAGCTTTAGTTTATTTGCTGATAGCACATGCATAAAATCTTATATGAGTGTAAAAAGTAAGGGAGACATTTGGAATTAGTATTAATAGTATTTTAATAGCAAATTAACCTATACAAAAGGCCTGTTTCTATAAAGAGCTTCCTGGAATACACTCATGCACATTGATATATCATTGTGACTGTTTTTGAGTAACAGTAACGTTGAGTAGCAACAAAAATTAGTGGCCCACAGAAATGAAACTTTATCACCCTTCATACAAAATGTTTACTGATCCTTGGCATTATTAGATTGATTTGATTACCCTAGAAAAAGATCACTCATGAGGCTAATCAAGAGCTGCTAGTAGCTTAAACTGAACTTTTAATTTCTCTACTAAAGAATGGTAGTGGGAATAGAAAGGAAAGTAGACCTGAGTGATAGGGGAGAGAAAAGGAGGAATTAAGAGTAATTGTGTGTGTGTGTATTGTTCCTGGGCTTAAACTCAGGACATGGGCATTGTCCCTGAGCTTTTTTGTGCCCAAGGCTGGTGCTTTAACCATTTTGAGCCACAGCACCATTTCTAGCATTTTGGTTAGTTAATTGGAGAGTCTCATGGACTTTCCTGCCCAGCCTGGCTTTGAACCACAATCCTCACATCTCAGCCTTCTGAATATCTAGGTTTGTAAGTGTGAGCACCAGCACCTAGCTCAAGAGTGATGTTTGACTGGTTCTGACTTGGGGCTTGTTTAGATGTTTTCCCCAAACCACAGCACGAATATAAAGAAGAGTGCAGTTTAGAAGGAAAAATTGAGGAGAAGACCATATTGAATATGATTTGCTTTGGAGTCTTTTGTACTATTTGTATAATTACCCCCCCCACACACACACGTGCGCGCATGTGCACATACACACACATGCACATATGCACACATACCTAAATCTTAGCAAAAAGATCTGTGTAGGAATATAGTATATAATTATATGTATCAATTCTGAGAAGAAAAATTGGCAAAGGAAAAAATAGTTGTGAGAAAAAGTCAGAAATCATGAAAGGACAAAACTGAAAAGCAACAACAACAAAAACAAAAACTGGCCAACAGTTAGAGAAGTTGAATATAAAAGGACTGATAGGGAAGTAGAAGGCACAAGCTTATGAGCTTAAGTAAAAATAAGGAAGTAGAGCCATTTTACAGAGAAAACATTTTCTCCCTAGTGCTAGGGATCAAACCCAGGTTCATTCCTATGGTAGGCAAGTGCGCTACTACTGAGCTACATTACCAATGTCATCCCAAAAGTGTTCTTTATAGAATGACTATTGTAGGTGGGTGGGTAGGAGGATGGGGAGACAGACAGACAGACAGATGAATACATATGTACATACATACTAGTGCCTCATTCCTGTAATCCTAGCGACTTGGGATGCTGAGAATGGGAAGAGCACAGTTCAAGGCCAGCCTGGACAGAAAAGTTTATAAGACCCCCTTCTTAACCCACAGTTAAGTATATGGGTACATGCCTGTTGTCTCAACTATGTGGGAGGTTAAGAATGGTAGGATGTGGTTCTAAACCAGTCCAATCAGAAGTCTGTGAGACCGTATCACAACAGAAAAAGGTGACACCATGCACAGTCATCCCAACCACTGTGGAAAGCCTAAAAGTAGATGGCTCACAATCCAGCCACATGCCCAGGCATTAATCCATGCAAGAAAGGGCTGGAAATTGGGTCCTAGTGGCTAATGCCTATACCAGCTATTCAGGAGGTTGAGATTCAAAGGTAAATAGTTCAAAGCCAGCCTAGACAGAAAAGTTTTCAAGACTCTTATCTCCAAATAACTACCAAAAAAGCACAGCTTGGGTTTTGCTCAAGTGCTAGATTTATTAGAGCACCAGTAGAGGAAGCACAGGACTCTAGAGTTCAAAGCTGGAGTTCAACTTTACTTGAGAAAGAGAAACTTGCTTGGAAAAAAAAAAGTAGGTAAGCTAAAGAATAATTCATAGCCAGGCATGGTGGCACATGCTTTAATCTTAGTAATTTGGGAAGAAGGGGAAGGAGATGTGCAAGTTTGAGCATGGCCTGGTCTACATAGTGAGACTCTGACTAAAAATTTTTTAAAAAAATAATTTGGAATTAAGGGAATTTTGAAGATGGAGTGTTGAATTGATTTATAAGTAAGTGCAGTCCATGAGGGAATGAGCTGAAACGCATTGGTGATAGGATTAGCTCTTCATCTGGGACTAGAAAAATAAAAATAAATTAACAGAGTTGACTGGAGTTATTGAAAGCACAATAGAAAATGGAAACCAAGTTTTAGTTGTACCAATCAGTAATTAATGAGATGGGTATAACACAAATATAAGGCAACTGTAGATTTCAGGATATTGTTATGTGGTTTAGCCATGAAACCCAGTCCTATAAATATTGAAGTACTGCTAGTAATGACTAATAATTTAGAAGACAACTGAGTAATATAAAGAGGCAAAAAGTATATGTGATTTGTGATCTTAAAAAAAAAAAAGTAGAGCAGTGATTTTCAGCCCAAGCTACTCTTTAGAATACTAATGTGTTTCATAGAAGTTTTGATATATTATTCTAAGATTGTTGGACTTTTAAGAACTCTGCTTATGACTAACATGTAGCCATGGTTGAGAACCTCTGAGAGAATCAGCATATTAAGACTATGGACTATAATTCTTCTGTTTTTGTAGCTAGTAGAACTTCTTCAAATAAATTTTATAAGGAAGCCCAATTTTTAATTTTTTTTCAGTACCACCATTTGAACTCAGGCATGAAACTGTTGAATCATGCCTCCTGCCCATTTATGTCTGGGTAATTTTTGAAATAAGGGCTCAATTCTTGACCTTTTGTGTACTGAGACTAATTTGTCAATTTCACACTTCCTATTTGTACTAAGATGACAGGCACAGGCCACTGTGTCTATCTCTCAGTTGTAAACTTTTCTACCCAGGCTGGCCTGGAACTTCAGTTGTCCCTATCTCAGCCTCCCAAGTAGCTAGGATTATAGGTGGAGCTTAACTTTTAAATCTTTATAAAGTAGAACTGCAGCAGAGGGGAGCCCTGGGATGTGTCAGTGTCTGGTATTTTCCAGAACCCACTCCAGGGACTCTCCAAAATAAAATATCTGATTTAGTGTTCCAATCAAAGAAAGGTAAAGTTGACAAATTAATACAGCAAAATAATTTAGACAATAATTAATTTAGATAAATTATTATTTTCATAGTAAATTAGTATTTTACAAAGTTATGTGAAAAAAATGTTCTTTGCATTTGCAAAGGTAGAAAATGGTAATTTTTCATTATTTTAATTTTTTAAACAGTGCAGGGAGTGGAGTTACAAAAGTTTTTATGTATCTCATACACAATTTACTGTACATTATCAAATAGTCCAGTGAATGTAGATAGAGGAAAAGTTATACATAGATGAACTTATATCAGATACTCTTTGTACAATTATTTCCTAATGTTTTAAATTGTTCTCTTTGGATTTTGTCAAAGATATTGAAAACCATATCAATGCAGAATCTTTTAGGAACAGCCATGAGTTATCAGCAGGTGATTCTCTAAACTGTAGTGAATACATGCTGTGGGTGGTTTTTATACTGTGGCTAAAATGACTAATCATTGTGCTCATGTTGAAGGCATGCTTCATCATCATCAAGCACTTTTTAGGCAATGAATTCTAAACATAGAGTGTCCCAAATCAGCTCAGTATTGGCTGAAACAAGTCTGATTTGAGAACTATTGGCAGAAGTAGCTATAATTATTAAATTTACTGCAGAATAAGACAAGGTAGTGAAGTTGGCTTTTTGTCAAATGGTAAAGTAGTCTTATTAGCAAAAAGTCATCATTAGCAGAGTCAGAGGAGGCTCCAAAGGATTCACTCTGCCCTAATTATAGTTTCACCTATACATATTATGCAAAGCTAATATTTAAAGCATTTGCCAAAATTA